TTGCAGTCCTTGTTTCCTACACCGAGTTAGCTCACGTAGGCTTAGGGATGCCGAGAGAATGTGTTCGGCTTCTTGACTGTTTTATTTTGGGAAATTCAAGCCAAGGTGGAGATTTGTTAAATATGTCTTGAATTTTATGTTCTCAGTCCGGTTTAACACCCGACCCGACATATTTTTGTGCGACCCGAAAATTGAGATTTAGTTCCGCGGCTAGGTTTTCTCATTGTAGAGAGAGAGAGAATTTTATTTTCAGAGAGTTTTGTAAGCCGTGAGCTTTTGTCGTTGTTTCGACTTCTGAAAACTGTACTCTCTTTGATTATAGTGGAATTTTGTCTTGCCTCGCCCGTGGACGTAGATCACGTTGTGATCGAACCACGTAAATCCTCGTGTTCTGTGTTTGCTTTTCCGCGTTTGCTACAACACAAGTAGATTTTTCTTGTGAATGATTTGACTTCATTTAACGACTTTTATATGCAGAAGAGAATGAAATTGCACTAGATAACCATGATTACAAGTATTTTCTTGTGGACCATTAACAGTTGCTTGGAGTTAGGATTCTCCAGTAGAAGAAAAGTGGTCTTTCATCCTTAGCAGCATGGAAGTAAAGAATGCGAAATGTGTACAAGTATTGGAACAATATCCTTAATTGTGAAATCAGACGCACGATGGCAGTGCCAGAATTGTGTAAGACTAAGTCTACCAAACCATTGTTATACATCCCCTGGCATTGAAATTAACCTTCGAGATACTCTACACGAGAAAGCTGAATCCAAAAACTGTCTGTGTCCCAAAAGAGATAAAGATTGCTCATTTAGGAAGCATGTAACTGTCTTAACTTTGCTTTGCTACAACATTACCGATTGCCAATTATTTCATACATCAAATTGGGGATTGACATTGGAGAGCAATTTCTAATCAAGCTGTAGAAACCAAACTCTCCTCTGAATTAGGAAACCTCTGAACAAAGAAAGCGTGAAATATAAATTTCCAATAAGAAAGGAAACTAGTTAGGATTTAACAAGAATGAAACCCCACACGTCACTTCTTTTCTTTTTGTTAGAAATTTACACAATTACCCTAGTAAGATCAAGGAAAATTTGAGAACAACTATTTATACAGTGAAGAAGCTTTATCGTGGATATTACTTTTCAGATTTCCCATAGGCCACAGTTGATTGATTTTGTTCTTCTAAATTGGTGTCAATACCAACCAAAGAACTTTATGACTATGACTAAGATTGACTCAGAAAAATCATAGCAATGCTCGAGACCCGTGCATCACGGGCCTTATGCTGGTGCGATATCACTATAGATGAAGAATTGTAATCAACTATGATCTTCTTACGGAAGTGATCATTTCTCTCCGGTTATGCTTTTCCGTGCCTGCCTCCCCTTACAAACAACACTTAAATATGTAAAGGACAGAGTGAGAAAAGTTCACTAATTATCATATCACCTGTGGCGGTTCATCTTGTCCATATAAACCCAAAGCAAAGAGTTTCTCCCTAATCATTTGCAGCTGATTTGCAATTGCGCTAATGCTCATGAATCTTCCAGGCACTTCGATGGAAGAAGCAACTCCAATATCATAAACCACGACCAAACACTCTTTAAATATGCCGTAGCTTTTGGAAAGCCAATGCTGAGGGCTATATAGGGGTCTAAATGACTCTCTCTTCCTCTCTTGACACAAAATATGGTCCATCCTTCCCTGCACTCATTTAGGCAAAACTACAGCAACAAAACTATGAAGAGTCAAATTGTCTCGCAATGTGTCATCGGTGGCATAAACTCCGTGAACATCTCACGCAAGAAAATGCCGTAACTATAGACATTGATTTCTCTTGGGACCTCGCACCTAATTGCATATTGTGCGACACATTTAGATCATAGTGTAGATGACATTAGGGGTGCAGATCATAAAAAATTAATTATATTGGGCAGCGGGTAGGGAGGATATTCTGCAACAAGATTAAGGAGGGAGAGAGAGAGAGAGAGAGAGAGAGAGAGAGAGAGAGAGAGAGAGAGAGAGAGAGAGAGAGAGAGAGAGAGAGAGAGAGAGAGAGAGAGAAGATATGAAGCTAAAGATAAAGCAAGCGCGTGAATGTGAATGTCTAGCATAAGCGGACCAGCTGCTATTTCTCTCGCACCTGCTCTCACCAGTACTCATGTATGGTATTGTATACAACAATTTGCACTTCCAAGTAACTGCATTTTGACAAACTGTCCCCCAATAATAGCTTCTTTTCCTTCCTTTGTTTTTGGAGAATGTCCAATTTTGTTAAGACAGACTGGATAGCCTTTTTCTGACAAGGTGAAACGTCAAATTAAGGAGCTCAGAGATAGAAGAATAACAGTGGTTGGAAACATAGCCATAGCCAAGAAAGAGGGTGCGAGAAATGCTCAGCAGCGAAGGCTCTGGCATAGCATTGACTACAGAGTGAGAGGTTGCTTCACAGACAGAATTGTGACAATTTCGCAAGGGATGAGGTGAAATTCTGTTTATTACCACTGCGCCGGTCACATTTCCTCCACTTTGATTATGTATTCACTCCACCTTCACTTGTATCAGTCGTTAAAACTATCAGTCTTCACAGTAATCACATCCAACATTAAGCCGTTTCAGCTTCTATATATTGTCTAATGAAACAAGAGAAGACAACACTTTAGACCTTTTAAAACACTTTTCTCCTGCAATCAAAATGGCTTTTCCATTCGCACACTTGGGGGGAAACAAATTTATTCCAAACATGGTTTCTGCGATCCGCGTGCAGTCCTCCTGTGAGAAACTATACATCACTATCGACTATGATACACACAAGGAAGAGAAAATTCACACAATCACCAACATGACACAACACAGATCTATATAAAGCCTATCATTAGACAGCACATGAAAATTTATGTTAGCTGAAGGCAACGTAAAGATGCCTATGTATAATATTTCATTATATTTCTTTGTCAGGAGAATAGAAGGTTGGCATAGAGTTTAAAAAACTCAAGGCTAAGGCTTTTTAGATGATTAAGATGAAGACGATGATGACGACTAGGAGGACTATGAGGGCAAAAATAAAGAATTTCTCTGGCATGTTAACATAGCAACAGCTTAATATGAAGTATAATTATGTGTTTGCCAGATTTGGAAAAGCACGAGCTTGCATTGAAAACGCAAAAGTCACATGAACCAATTTTCGAATGTGTGGTTACTCACTCATCTGAGTCAACTTGTCTTTTCTCTTTGGGAAAAATAGCTCATCCTATCATTTTTTTCAGGCAATGCATTTCTTCCACACCACATTTAATAACTCGATCTCAAGTAAAAGTCAACTCTCAACTCAGACATCTTCCTCTCACTCTGGTCTTGCTTTAAGACCTCAACCTTAAAAACATTTTAACTTCAGTTGCACCGAGTCAAATTATAAATCACTTGAAGCATCATTACAAGAAGTTTTAGACAACAGGCAGTCGCGATAGATAATAGTATCTTGACATACAAAGAAAGGACAATTCCAGAATACACCAAGCTCAAAGGCATTCTAATGGACTCACTCATCAGACTTACTGAACCTAATACGTGCTCTTTAGTCACTAAGGGAGCGTTTGGTAACGTTTCTTTCAGAAATAGTTTTTTCTATTTCTATTTCCTGGATGAGTTTCTAAGCAAAAAAATGCGTTTAGTAACTACACAAAATTTCTATTTCTGGAATAGAAAAAGAACATAAATGTGCTTGGTACAACCAAAAAAATTTCTATTCCCAATTTTATTCATTCAAGTCTATATCTTTTATTTAACTATAAGTACAAGTTATAAGTGAAAAAACCAATAAGCATTGTTTATTGGTTTGTCTAATCCTTTTTGACTCACACTACTTTATATATATATGCAATAAGCAATAAATACCATAAGCAATGTTTATATATATGTTTAGCATGCTCTTCATGGATAAAATTAATTTTCTTAATCTTTTTATTATTCTAAATACCATATTGATCTATTTCAAAAGTTTCTTCACAGCCGCTATTATAAATACTATTTATTCTCATATTAAATTACCAAAAGATAAAAAAAGAATGCTTACATCTTAACCATGTGTTAGTTGTTTTTATTACCAATAAATAAACAAAACAAGAACTCCTTCGACGAATGTGAAGAACCCTCCGGGTCAACCTTGACAGTGCTATAATATACAATAGCTGACGTCACTAATTTTTGTCACTTAAGAAAATTATACCTTTCTTTCTCTTTATAAACTCTTTTCTATGATGCATAGAGTTCTTTGCCACTATATATATATATATAAAGAACATTCGAAACTCCATACACAACATTGTAATAACACATGGATGCGGATTTTATTGGGTGCTTGAATATGATCCATTCGCTTTATTAATCACTTAAATAGTCACAGTAACTTTGAAATTGATTTATATAGACATGAATCCTTAATGCCTCCTCATGCCACTCATCTGCATCCTCCACTTGTGTAGGTCCAAATGGGTATTCCGTATCTCCATATAGGGAAAAGAAATTGGAAAGAAATTGGTAGATGGACAGCCTGTGAAAGAAATTGGTAGATGGATTTACTTCCATCCTAATTTGGAGTTGAAGTTGGAGTTGAAGATGAGTAAACAGCCTATGAAAGAAATTGGCAGATGGATTTACTTACATCCTAATTTGGAGTTGAAGCATAAGATAAATTTATATTCTCGAACTAGTGAATTCAACACTGCAAATCACAATTTCCTGATCGAGCCAATAATGATCGTACGATGGTATTTCATGAACAAGTATGTCAAACATAAGGACGATTGTGTGCGATCAATTGCAGCTAATAATCTCAAAACTTGCCTCAAAAACCTCTTATTGTCCATCCTAAGCAAAATAAGTTTTCAACATGGACTCTAATGTCATACCACCGGTCACTTGTGAATCCCTGCTGCACAGGCTAAGCTCTGCAATTGGAAGTTCTATTCAGGCTTCAACAAAGCAGGTATTATACTCTACATGACCATTCCACCATCTATCGTGAAGACCTGCATAGTAACATCAAATTATTAAGCAAAGCAAAGCTGAAACAACGTCATGAGAGGGGGAAAGGGTAAAACAGCGGGAACAGCGATTCTTTTACCTGTCCCGTAATGTAGCTGGCTGCAGGGTTGATGGCAAGAAATTCCACCAGTCCAGCAACTTCTTCTGGCTTTCCGTACCTTCCTGAACTCATAAAGATGACTAACATCAGAACAGAAGTCTCACATACTCTTTGATAAAATAAATTTTGAAGGGCTACTCTTAGTTAAGACAACACAACACGGATACGAGGTCTGTTCTTCTTATTCGATGTTCCATCGGGGGTTAACGATACTCTCAATCCCTCCCCAACCCTAAAGCCACCAAAACTTTCCAGAGTATAGCCTTCCTAAGTATAAAATATAATTCATACTTCAGTGTAACTGTTATTAGATCTCATGTAATGTCCTCAGAAACAGTCAGAGGACTGGAACATCCCTAAATCAGCAATTCTTCGGTGAAATACCACATTACTGACAGCCACTCCTTAATATCTCACCTAACGGAATTGTCTCCAAGATTTTCTTTTCAACTTCTTCCCCAAGTTTGGCAGTCATATCAGATGCAATGAACCCAGGAGCAATAGCATTAACCTGGGGAAATGATGTTGTTAAGTGAGCCAACAATGGCAGAATTACTTTGTCAGAATTACTTTGGCATGACGGATGGGTTACTAAGGGTGAATAAAATACAGGTCGAATTACTTTGTCAGAATTATGCATGGCTTAATACAGGTGAAGTTTCAGAAAACTCGAAAAAAATTAACAAGTAATAAATATCGTAGCTTTTGTGCAAAATGCAAGTGGCAGAGTTTCTGTGATTTATTTCATGATCCAACGTTTTGAGTTCCGAGTTTAAGTCACATCAATTAGCTATATAATACTATCAACCATGTCCAAGTCTTTTTATATTTCTTGGAAATATCTTTTCTTTCAACTTGTGCAAATTGAACAAAAAACTTTAATGTGGATATTCTGAACCAAAATACAAGACAGAAGTGCATCTACAAATGCACACTAGGAGGAATGGCACGTGTGCATGCACACACACAGACGCATACACAATTATGGCCTGTTATGAAGATATCCTGTATCTTGAGAACCAACGTATGCAATTCCTTGAATTATTTCAGAATGGCTCGCTATATAAGGGAGTCTGTTTACTCAAATCACCGTAGCCACTTTGCCAAGGGCAAGCAACAGATGTGCGTAGGAAAATATATCATTCATTTGCAGAGCAGAACACTCATAGCGGGCAAAGTACTAAGTTGCTAACAATCAAAGCCTGTGGATTGAGAAGATCACACCCACCTTGCAACCTGCTTTATCCAGTGATAATGCCATGGCTTTACCAATACCCCTGGAGGCTCCGGTAACTATCACGACAGGCGATTCTACGCTTTGAACCCCTTCTGTGCTCACTTTTTCAACAGTGGCAACCTGAGCTCTTACACCTGCATGAACAATTAATAACCCACGAGGTTAACGATAGATTTATCCAGCACTAAAAGCCAGAGATTTATGACCTATGTTTCCTGTACAACAAAGCCAAACCACAATAGATCACCACTTCCCTGAGGATTAACTTGCATTGCATGCAATTACTACACGAAGCTTGTGTTCCCTTATCCTCACACTCACAAATTAAGGAAAAGAATATCTTGTCATTGCTAATCCTTTCCATGGAAAAACACAAATTACTCATCCTATATTGTAACTACTCCTCATAATCTCCCAGTCGTCAGCATCCCAATCATTCAACTGTATTAAAACTCAGAAACGAAAAATCCGCAAACATCTTCCCCGATCCAATTACCCCGGCACCTGCACTCCACACACCTCGGGCACTCCACATAAACGCAAGAGTCGAAGGATTGCAAAGACACAGAAGCACACAACAGAATGCCGCGACCCTACATGCCCGAAACTCAGAAGGACCAGCGAAAACGTAGCAAACGCATTGCACGAAGGCAAAAAACGAAAGAATCAATACCGGCAATCGAGCTTCCGCTTCGGCACCGAAGAGACGGCAGGTTCCGGAGCTGGCTCCATCGGGCTCCGCCAAGAACCGGCTTCACAAACATGAAGATATGTTCAAATGCTCGCCCAGATCTGGGCGCGAGGGCCTGGGCGGCCCGCGCCAAGATCGGCGAGGGCGGCCCTCGCTCGACGGCGTCCCTATAGAATCGCCACACTATCAAACAAAGACGAGAACAGAAAGGCCTACCGGCGGCTTTCGACTGGCCAGGGCTTCGCCGCGAGTGACCGGGTTGGTGGCCGTTGCTTTCAGACGGTCTGCAGACGACGGAGGATAGAGGAGGAGCTGAAGCCGCGGCTTGAAAGGGAAGAAGACGGTCTGCAGATGACGGTCCTCAGTTTCTTTTTTTGTTTCTTTGTTTCTATTTCTTCTTTTTTTTTAAATAAAAAAGTAAATTTTTTTTACTTCTTAACCCTGTTTCAAATTCATTTTCTGGATATTTTTCTATTTCTAAAAATAAAAAAATTAATAGACGTTATCAAACAAATTTCTATTCTTTTTTTTGTTTCAAGGAATAAAATAATAAAAAAATAAAAAAGCACAAACGTTACCCAACAAACCTTAAAATTCAGCCTCAAGACAAGCAAGCAAATAGTTAATTGGCCAAGATGCAATGATATCAAGCCAAAAACACAATTAGACATGGCTATATTGGAGCAAAAGCTTACTGTGAAGATAGCTGGCGAGCGAAGTAGATAGACAGACATCTTCAGGGCCTGCCCCGAGACATTATACTGCTCAAACCTTTTTCGGTATAACAAAAAATTTCACCGAAAAAAGTCCACCCAATTGCCAATCGACAAATGGCATCAGCAGCCCAGATTCCTCCTGTTCAATCCCGCCAAAACCACACCCACTCTCTTCAACCTAAAGAGACCACCAAAGTATCAATTCCAAACTATCTAAAGGCCTCAGATTTGGCCCCTTCAAAAACCCTAATCCCAAAATCCTATCTACTCTGAGGATAGAAAAACCCAATTCACGAGCTTTCAAGCGGACGCTTTGTCCTTCTTCTCCGCCAGATTAGAAACGAAAAAAAGATCCTGATTTCCGACCCAATTCGAAAACCCAATGCCTTCGTTACCAAATCAAGAAACGCCAACGGAGACAAAACGGAGAATTTAGCCCAGCTATCACTTCCGTGGGTGTGGGGAACCTTCAATTGGGGCAAGAAAAGGGGCGCACCCAGATCCAACCGCACCGCAATATTGATGAGCTAGAACTTGGGGAATGGAAAAGTGCGAGGGTGACCGAGAGAAGCAGGAGAAGCGAGAGAGGGAAGACAGCTGAAGGTGGTGGAGAAGGGGGTCAGGACTTGGGAGTCCTTCTTCTTCTGATGATGAGAAGAGAACTCCGTCGGAGTGAGATTGGCGAGGGATATTGGCAAGAAGCTCAAAGCTTGTAACTTTGAGGTGTCACCGGATGGGGAGAGTCAGGTGTGGTCTTCCCCTCTGGTGTTTTGAGGAGAAATCTCTGGGGCGCTGGGGTCTTTGGCCCAACGCAATCATAACCGTCGATTGAGTTGGATTCGCATATAAAACCCACGTCATCAACGGTTGTTGTGATGAATTTGACAGGTCATTTTATGATGAGTAATTTGGCAAAAACAGAAAAAACTTTTGATGAGTAATTTTCACTTTCGATCAATAAACTTCAATATATTTTTACAACTAATCATGTGCATTAGTGGACTTTAGCTTTCGTTAATGTTATACTAATTTGGTATTTCTTTGCATTTCATGTATTCTTAACGAAATTTGACTGACTTCTTGATAAAGTGCTAATGTGACAATCATATGATATTGACTTACAATTCAAGTTAGCTCAAAGTGGGAAAAAAAAGGAAGTGGCATCTACTTAGACTTCACGAGGCATGGTGGCCATGTTGGTATCTTATACCAAAAGTGGTTGAACTCCGGTTGAAACACATTAATTGCAAAAGATGAATATTCAATCTCTTGGGCAATTAAAATCAAAGTTCAACGACTTCGTCATAAGATATACATCGAAACTTAGTGACTACAAGTGAAATTCACTCACCAAACAAAAGCTAGTTCGAGTTGGTTGCTAAGCTCCTGCCTCCCAGGTTAAGGTTTTGGTGTGAAAATTAGTTTCTTAAAACTATAATAAAAAAAACTAATCATAGGAAAAATACAAATGAGGTTAAGGTATGTTTTTAATAACTTGAGGTGCTCAATAGTAAGACTTATGCACAGTAAGTAACAGCTAATCATGAAACAAAACTTCAATCCCAAATATGAAAAGAGTTCAAGCAAGTTACTTCTAGAATGGTGTCCTTGAAAGCTATCCAAGAAGAGGAAAGGAGGCATGTCCTTGAAACTGGTGGGTGCCTAATTTTTTCAGTGCTGTTAGGAGTACCAGTGTTAGTGGTCATCAGTATCCTTGGCCCATTTTCAGAATGAGAGTCTTCTGCTTCAACTCCTAACGAGAATTCTCTTCCAGTTGTGTCCTATGAAAGCCCTTTCGAAAACTACAGATGAATTTCAAGGTAAAAATGGTCAGGGTCGCTGTGCCTGACTGAGCTTTTGTTCAGGTATGTGCCAACCATCTCCGGCCACGATTTGGCGGGCGTTGTTTATGGAGTTTTGGTCAATGGAAGCTTGGAAGATTTGGTAAGGAACGAGGGACGTGACGAGACAAAGAATATGAGTCTTCTCTTCAGAGACTACGAGCATTGCATGCGTCGGATTATCTCCATTGTAATGAAATGCCTATGGTTCTTTCTGGTCTTGAGCCGATTAATACTCCCTGATGAGGACATGATTGTACGTGCCGGTGATTTTTGGTTGGTTAGAATTTATATCAGACACTAGCAACACGTTTTGTATCATCAAACAAGTTCTATCGCAACAAGAAATGAATGAACGAGAGAAGGAAAAATTGTGGCAAAACAAGAGTAATGAAAGTGGCGAACTTTAGAAACAGCACCTCCGCAGATCTCATCAGAAAACACACTAGCATAAAATGCAGATGAGAATTCCGACAGACTAGTTATGCTAAACCATTATGGTAAAGTTCCTGCTTAATATATTAATCGTGCGGACCTGTTTCTCGATTTAATTAATACAAGGAAGCTGAATCTGGAAGCTGTATATTCTTTTATTTTCCAGACTATCATGTACTTCTCCCAAACAGAGCACTTGCCAATTTAAGCAGAATCTGAAAGAGATACTTGGCTCGACTGCAACATCACTCATCTCCAACTGTCTCGCACAACTTCAGCTACACATTGCGAATCCTAGTGAAGCTGTAGAAAGAAACCAGGTACTCCTCTGAGTTAGAAAGCCTGGACAAAAGTTAGGATTTGCAAGGGGAAAAGATAAATTTCCAATAAAAATGGAGACAGATTAGGATTTATGTATATGAAACCCCACACAATCTTAATGCGTTAAAATGAACTCCTAAGAACATCTATTCATACATTGAAAAAGCTTGATCATGGACATCAATTGAAAGTAGCCGATAGTTGATTAGTTTTTATATGTCTAAATGAGCTTCATACCAATAGAACAAGTGAACATTTTAGACTGATCTTTAAATGTCATAACAATGCTCAAGACTGTGCATCATGATAGGCTAGTGCAATATCTGTGCTGATGAGGAATAATAATAAGACTATCATCTTCCAACAGATACGACTGCTTCTCTCCAGCTACACATTTTCAAAGTCCAATTCGAACTATCTTTATATGGCCAGACTTTCCCACACCTCAACTCAGGTTGGGTTTCGTCGTATTCTCAAACTCGAGACCAATTTTAATAGATGTCACTAAAAGGTCTCTGCACTGTGGTGCACGTGCCAGCTTAATACATATACAGATGAGGAATGACAATCAATTGAAAATGCATGATCGATTCTCTATTCTGCTCCACATTTTACCTGTATGTTTGCACTAGCATAAGCAAAACAAAATAATGAAGACAAGAGAGGTTAAGAAACTTATCGTATACCTCCGGTAGTTCATCTTGTTCATGTAAACCCATTGCAAAGAGTTTATCCCTAATCTTTTGCAGCTGATTTGCAACAACGCTGGTGCTCATCCGTTTTCCGGGCACTTCACTGGAACAAGCGACGCCAATATCATATATCATAACCAAACACTCTTTAAATATGACATTGCTTTCGGAAAGCCAATGCCGAGGACTATCAGGGTCAAAACGACTCTCTCTTTCTGGAAGCAGAATCCGATCCGTAACTTCTAACACTCATTCAGGCAAAGCCGCTGCGACAAAACTATGAAGAGTCAAATTGTCTCCGAATCTGTTATCGGTGGGACTCAGTCCTGTGAACATCTCTAGCAAGAGGATGCCGTAACTGTAGACATCACCTTCTCTTGAGACCTCGCATCCCATTGCATATTCTGCCACACATTTTGATCATAGTGGAGATGAAAAATAGGAGTAAAAAAAAAAAATAGGAGTGTTGATCATAAAAAAGAACATGGAGCTCAAATCATTAGAATAAAAAAGTAGATAGATTACCTGGTGGAGTATAACCAACTATTCCTCTAAGACCCACCGAGCTCATCCGGTTAGCTACAGTAGCAAGGGATGATCCAAGAAGGAATTTCACCAATCCAAAATCACCAACATGTGCGACCATCTCAGCATCTAAGAGTATATTGCTTGGCTTTATATCATAATGAAGGACGGGGAAGTGGCACTGGTGATGAAGATAATCCAGTGCAGAAGCAACACCAATAGTAATACTTATCCTCCGTATGAAATTCAACTTTTTCGAAAGCTCATTCCCGTGAGATGATGTTGCGTTCGGGTGTAGCCACTGTTCCATTCTCCATGAATTCATAGACTAAGGCCTTGAAATCGTTTCCTTGATAATCAATACCCGAGCATACTGTCAATATCTTCAAAAGATTTCGATGCTTAATGTTTTTGAATGCCTCACACTCAACTATGAAGCTCTTCAGAGCACCGTGACGGACTAAATGAAGTACCTTCATGGCAACAAGAGTTTCGTCGTCCCCAAGTATCC